GGCCGAAATGAGCTTTCTCCGCAGGGCGGCCGGGCGCACCCTTAGAGATAGGGTGAGGAGCTCGGTCACCCGGGAGGAGCTCAGAGTAGAACCGCTGCTCCTCCACATCGAGAGGAGCCAGCTGAGGTGGCTCGGGCATCTGTTTTGGATGCCTCCTGGGCGCCTTCCTAGGGAGGTGTTCCGGGCATGTCCCACCGGGAGGAGGCCCCGGGGAAGACCCAGGACACGCTGGAGGGACTATGTCTCTCGGCTGGCCTGGGAACGCCTCAGCTGGAGGAAGTGTCTAGAGAGAGGGAAGTCTGGGCATCTTTGCTTAGACTGCTGCCCCCGCGATCCGATTCCGGATAAGTGGAGGAAAATGGATGGATGGATGGATGGATGGATGTTCTAAAAGTACCTTAAAAGGAAGCTGGTGACTGATTACTGAGTTATGTCCAGTAGTCTCCAGTGAGCCCAACCGTATTTGTCTGTCCCTACGCCTCCTCCACTTTAGCTTTCTCATCCTCATACAAGTTCTGTGCCTTGGTTACAGTGGTGGTTCTCCAAGGCAATTCATATGTGCAGGCTTTGGATGGAGTAAAATGATTACAAGCAAACGCTCGTCCTCCACAATGTTAATCGGCCTGCAAGCTGTAGCCAAGTTTGTTGCTTATAGTTGTCCAGGCATCTCCGTTGCAAACTATCTAGCATGGTTTGCCTTTGGTGAGGGGGAGGAGGGCTCTTTACATCAGCTGCGTGCTTGGCCAGTCAGTGGTATCTGAGACTCGACGTTCTCCAGCAGTAAGTCAGTTCACATTGACAGTAAATGTCACAAAAAGGAATAAAAACAGTGTGTGTGTGGAGCGTTATTAGACACTGATAAGCCAGCAGGAGGCTAACACTGATAAGATGCTATATGTTAGTTCATAGTGTTTGTGTGTGTACAAGTGAACAGAATGTGTATAGAAATGATAAGGTATTATACATAGTATAGTAGGCTTTCCTGTGTTTTTTTCCCATTTTTAAACCAGTGGGATTCCCTTCTGTTATCTTTTTGTCTTGTCCTTACATTGCCTCTATGCCTCCTTCTTTTTTCTGGAGATAAACAAAAAAGGCAGGGCTAAAGCAAACCCATCCTGTAGAGGAGGGGCACATGCCTTCTGCTAGTTTTAGCTTCTTATCCAACACGCATAATTTAGATAGTTCGTCAACCAAATGTCAACAGCTTTTTCGTTGTTGTTGTTGTTGGCATGCTTTACACTGACCATGCTGACTTTCATCCTTGGATATGTCCACTGTTGGCAGGGAAGCAAATGGTAAGGACTATACATTTGTCAAATAAAAGGCATAAAGAAACAAGTTCCAAGATTAATGTGTTTTGCAAAATATTTGCAGGAGAGAAAATAACTTAGCTTTTATTTTTGATGAAACATGAGTGATTTATTTTTGGTCCTGTGGTGGGGTAGTTATAGTAGTAGTTGGGTAGTTATATAGTGCATGTAGCAGTAGCAGGCTTTATATGCAGCAAATGTGAGTATAGTCTTGTGCAATATCACTAAAATGTTAAATAACTTTAAATTAAATCATCTTTGAATAATTGTATTATTTTCAAGTTGGGCTGTAGGGTTTATAATGTTATGCAAAGTATGATTAAAAACAAATAAATTAGATACATTGAAAATACAGGCCCCAAACATCAGTATAGCTCACTGGCTACTGAACAGGCATACTGGGTTAAGTGACTTAACATTTCTTGTTAAAAATTCAGTCAAACAACAACAATAATATGTTGTTGCATCTCTTTGTGACAGAATGGCCACAGGGAGATGCAAAAGAACCCCAAAACAAACAAAAGAAATTTAACAAAAACAAAGAGACACCTTAAAACCCTTATTTGAGATGAAGCAAAAACACCCAGTCTTGACTAAATTGGAAAAATATCTGTATACAAAAAAGAATTTAAGACAACAACAGACAGGCCAACATGGTCTCACCGTGTAAAAATAATTATAAAATACCTGTACAAACCTGTACAAAATGTCATTTAAAGAATCATTTTATCTCAGCATTTAAAGACCTTAAAGACAACTGAAATTCAATTAGTTTAACCCTCTTGCATGCACTGTAATATTATTGACCTACATAAAATGGACCCAACTGCTGACATAATGCATAGTTTTTAAAAAAATAAAGTCTTAAGGGGACCTGTTTGGGGTATGTTTCCTGGAGGCAACTGTCAAGTTTGGCGTGTACAGATGCCAAACAGAGGTTGTGGTGAACTCAATTAAATGACCAGACGAACCGAGGTAGCGACAAGTTCTTTACTAGTAGTAAACAAAACAACTAACATAAAGTCCAGGATATCACTCAGGTCGATAAGAAAGTCCAGGGTCGGCGCCGGTAAACAGGTATAGCCAGGGGATCCAAACTCGAGGTCAAGGGGGACAAAATCAGAAGGTCGGTACACTGCAGGCGAACAGAATCTGGGAGGGCATAGACAAAACACGGTGGTCAAGAAACGGTAATCCTAGGTCAGAAACAAAGAGTCAGGCAAGGGATAAGTGCTGGAGAGTCAGAGCTGGGGTCTAGAACAATCTGGCAGCGTCCTGGTAAGGAGCAGGTAATGATGATTAAATAAAAGGGCCAAAACTGAGGTGAAACAAAACAGGAAGTCATGTGAAAATAAAAGCATGACAGGAAGCAAGAGGGGCAGGAGCGTGACAGGCAACATTGTGTGACATTGGGAACAAGCTTAACAGGACGTCATAATGAGACCTGAAATTTTATTCATCAGAACAACTGAAATTAAAAAGAATGTCTCTTCAAAAACTATTATAAAATACGAGATTTTAGGATAATTTATTTATTATTTAATCATTTATTTGTTTTAATTTACACCTGTCCCTGCAACATCATCATATTACTGCAGGCTCATTGTCACTTGACTCTCCTGAAATCTTATCTGATTCCTGATAATAACTGGTAAAATAACAACTGTAAATGAAAATATCTGACTTTTACTGGATAGAGTTTTTCAATATTTGACTGTCAATTTTTTTCAACAGTGAAAATCTGGAAGCTGGGGTGCTGAGAAAGACCCCCCCCCCCCCCCCCCCCACACACACACACACACACACACACACACGCACACACACAGTAGAATAGTGTGGGAAAGGAAACATTAAATATATGTAAAACAAAATGTTATTATTAGTGACCCAAATCCAGTACATAGCTATTATTTTAAGGTTAGAGCTAATTTCTACTAAAGTAAACATTTAAGGGGAAACATGTTATATAAATGATCAATTTTAAAAACTCACATAAAGAATAGTAAGCAATTTTAAATAACAGGCAGATGACACCAGACAAATGACACTGTAGAAAAACACAGCTGGAATGCAAGAAAAAAATGTTTCAAAAAAGAACAATAGTATTTTGTGGGCAATTATTTTAATTTAGTAAAACAAGTTAAAAAACAATAAAATATCACATATACAATAGTAGGCACTTTCAGATCACAGGCAAATAACAGCAGATTACAGAACAGGTATTTTAGATTAATTTAGTTATTATTTCTGTACTAGAGAGATTTTATCACATGTATTTATAGAGTTTTCATTGAGATCATCATACATTTTCATTTCCCCCCACTATTCTTTAGGAAAATGTCTGTAATCTGCTGTTATTTGCCTGTAATATTTTAATGTGTTTTTTTATTTTCCTCTGTTTTTTCTTCCCACATTATTTTACTTTTTTAAAATGTATTTTCTTCTAGCAACCCAGCTGCCAGAGTTTGCCACTGTCACTTATCCTTGCTGCCTTTGACTAGGATAGCTACACCTTTTTTAGCACTTTTTTCATGCACTGTGAAACACTGAAGGTAGAAATTGATGCTAATGCATCCTTATCTGTGAATACTGAAATAATCACATTTTCTCTTGTGCAAAAACAATAGAGAGAATTCTAACAGATCCTCAGTAAGTTATTACTGATGATGGCTACAGAAGTGACTTACACTGTAGGTTAAATTCATGTCACTGTCACACCATGTTGCCTCTATGCAGTAAACCTATGTAAGCATATTTTGATAAATTCCAAGTTATTATTAAGTGTACAAAACTGAAGTTTACTCAGCAGTAAGTGTGACGAATATCTGGGGGGGTTGAGAATGCATGAAAATTTGTCTTTTTGTCACAATTCCAGAAGAGCAGAGACAGGTGTCATCCCCATGCTATGCCATATATTTAAATATCGTTACCTAAAGATGGTGTGACCAAAGAAAAGCTTTGTATCAATGAATTAAAGCCCTCCCACCATTACTACACCAACCTGTGACTTAAAATATGCAGCATGTCACTCTATAGTGAGGTAAATAGTTTTTGTTGCATAGAGGCAACACCATGCAACAGAGGGTTAAAGACTTGAGGCAGACTTGTAGTGGCTGGTCTCAGTCCACCAACATATTTGTGCTTAAATGGTTAATTCTCAGGTTTGGGAAAACATGTATGATAACAGCATTATTAAATCTAAATTCTCTCTTAATCTCAGGTTAAACTCACAGGTATGACTGAATTAGAAGCCTCAGGGGTGGGGGAGCATACCCCACCCTACATGATCTTTCTGGTGGTCTTCCTCTTCTTCCTCACTGGATTGCTGGGCTTCCTCATCTGCCACCTGCTCAAGAAGAAAGGCTACCACTGCCGAACCGGAGACATGGATGAAGAAGAGGAAAAGGAGAAAGTTGGAGGGAATGCAGACGGTGGGTTGGGAAAAAACCAGTATAATAGACAATAAAGTTGCATTATTAGTCTAATTTTAGTCAGTGACATTTTAGTTTCATATTTGGTCCTACATTTTTAATATTCATATTTTCTAAGCATTTTGAGAATACTGTTGTCTCTATCTTTGCTATGTACAGTTGCCATGGTTACATTTGTTGCTTTTGGGGAAAAAGCTGTTACGTTGTTGACACACAGTGTCCACATCCACAGCATTTCATGCTACATTATCTACAGTGCGAGTTATTTTGAAGCACCCAGCCCAGCAAAAAGAGATTTGCCACAAAAATAAATAAGTAACATTGCTATTGGCACAAAACCAACTTGGTTAAGTTTAGGTTGAATTAATTGAGTCCTTTGTTGAATTTAGAGGATTTTTATCATAATTGTTAATGTAATAAACATGTAGTTCAAATTCTTGAGGTAAAGAAACAACAGTGACCATTGGTTTAAAATGGGAAATTAACAGTGATCTCCTGTATCAGTCCAATGTTTTCTCAACCCATCTGTCCACTCCATGCCATGGTATGATATGATACGCTGTCTCTCCGACAGTAAGAAACTTCCTGAACTTAATTGGTCCATTTGGTTTTATTCAGTCTGTCGGCGATTCTGCCAATGGCTTTTTAGTACCGTTATGCTTTCTTGGTGATATCCAAAAAACATAGGTTTAATTTGTTAGTTGTTTCACTTCATTACAGATGAGGATGAAGAGAACCAGGATACAGTGGAGCAAATCCTCAAATGCATCCTTGAAAATGAAGGTGAGTAGTGTAACTAGAAGAATGACCGCTTCTTGGTTGTATGCCTCTGTCAACAAGTTAAATTCATGAGAATGGGCCAGACAGATGTACAGACTGGATGGATACGAACAGAACAACCCAAAAACAAAATGCCTCTGGCAACGGCTATTGCTGGTATGGAGGCATAAAAGTTCCTTAATCTCTTGAATTGAATTCTGTTTTGAAGTAGTTGAAGATAAAGTCTATCCGCTTCTGTATGTTCTTATATTCAGGTTTACTGTGGTACAATACAAAATTGGCACACATATCTGGGGCCCTGCCATTATACTCTGAGCTGATTGGATCATTACCTATCAACAACTCCAAATTGCACTAAATTCACTGGCTTGATGCTCAATTCTGATCTTTTTTGTCAAATCCAGTTACTTTTTCTGTTCATGTGACAATGTATCCAGCTCCAGTGTGAACACCGTTGAGCACATAAACTGCCACACAGGCACAGATTTAACCGAAATGCGAGTAGTCATATAAACACTAAAATAACGTGATTTGTGTGAGGGCAAATTGTGCAGTTCTCTCTAAAAGTGCTCAGATATGATATGTTCATTCTAGTTTGGCTGGATCAGAAGCTTCTGCATGAATGACTTAGTCTCTCGACTGCTGCTGTCGCTGCTGTTGCTCCCCTTTAGGTATATTTTTAATTGTATGTGAGTGGCCGACACTGAATGGTGATGACAGACTTCTAAAAAACCCATATGAATTCTGATTTGATTGCTGTGACAGCGGTTGCAGAGTCAGAGATCGGATATGAAACTGATCTAGGACCACATATGGAAGTGGCCTAGATCTGGTGTGAAAAAAATCCAATTTAGCTTTCCTGAACCGTTGTCTTCTCGTGCATTGATTTGCTAAGATGAACAGCCAGTCAGAGTAGTCTCTCTATCACCAATGAGGCCCAACACCAATTCAACTTGTCAAGTCAGCTGAAAAGCTGCCAACGGGGGCCGACTAGTGCCAATGGTGTGGGATGCACTGAGAGGGCGAGCCCCGATAGATGCTCACCAACAACCTGACGGTGGCCAATGGCCAACCGTCGGCTTGGTGTGTCTCTGACCTAATGGGCAGTAAGGAGTAGGTAAGGTAGGAGACGGTGGCCAATGGCCAACCATCGGCTTGGTGTGTCTGTGACCTAATGGGCAGTAAGGAGTAGGTAAGGTAGGAAGGGGAATGGGGGTTGGTTAGGAGGCTCAGGAGGAGGGATGCTCTGCTACCCTCCTCTTCCTCTTTTCTTCCCCCTCTTCTTTTTTGTCTTCTTTTTCCTCATTCATTTCTTTTTCCTCACTGCTACATGTAGTTTCCTTCTCTACCTTCTTATTCTCTTTGTTTTCCATCTTTTCTTTTTCTTTGTCCTCCTAAAACCTAAGGTATCATAACTGATTCGCACCGTTATTTCATGGATTGATTAACATGCAAGAAAATGTTCCACCTTAAAAGTGGCCTTGTAGCCACACAGTGAATATAACTTACTAATTCACACAGTTATTGTGCCACACCAGAGAATAGAATCAGTCAGTTTACCATTTGACCGTGTGAGCAGTTACAGCTAAATAACTTTATTATGATGGCGGCACATACGCACGCAGCGGCCCGGGGCCCTCGGCTTCAAACTAAATTTTGTTGTACATGTCACAATGTTACAATGACAATAAAATAAAGCTTCTTCTTCTTCTTCTTATATGTAAACCTGTAGGAAAAGTGTTCACATGGTCCTCAAAATGAGCCACAACTTGACCATGTGCATGCACAGCACACTCCACTACTTCAACAAATAGCATTATACCTCTGGTCTGAATGTGACCTAATAGTACTCATTTAAAATGGGTTCTTTTCATCACCTCTAGCTAACATGGAAGCCTTCAATGAGATGCTGGGAAACCACAACATCTGTGCGCTCCATGATCCCAGGTAAGCTCATCCACCTTAGCCGTTGTTAGTCTGATACATGTATAGCTGGTAACTGTATTAATGTCACAGTGAATCAGCATTTTAATTTCCATTCTTGAACATTACCAATTCTGGATTTTGAAATGAATCCAAATGAATTTTTATGGGGCAATGTTCTGTTCTACTTTTCACTTAAAAGTCACTGAGCAGATGTACTATATAACCAAATTGTTCCCTGTATCTTACAACAGTATGAGATCTAATCAGCCAGTGGCAAAGGTGAACTACTTGAATTTTGTGAATTAACAATATCTAATCATTGCTTTTGCCTTGTAATTACCACTAAAAATCTGAGAAACTAAACTGAATGATTTTCTAACTGAGATTGTTTAATGTTTATGCTACTCTGCCCCCAGTTCGGCCATCTACTTCACAACATTCTGATTGTCAGAGAACATTTGAGCAACAAAAATTCTAATAGACTGTGACGAAGGTCTTATGCCGAAACATTTTGCTTTCTGGCAACAGAAATCTTTCAGCTGGGCGGGGGTGGGTAGGAGATGACAGTGTATTATGAAGAAATAAAAGGAAGCTGTATCCATGTTTGTTCTATTGTGCACCGACTGTTGATGTCCGTTCCAGTCATACAGAAGACCACTGTGTATTCTGCAAGAGCAACGCTGAACTCTGTGCAATGGAAACACAATCATGTACTGGGGCCAGGCAGCCCAGGCCAATAGCGGGTCAGCTGGCCTGAGCACGAGGAGGTTTCTAGTAGCACTGGAAAGGCGGCATATGTTCCTTTTCCAGGATCTTAATATTGTTGTCCATCTTTTGTGTCCTGTGCATTTATGTTGATAAATCCAAATCTTTTATGTTTGTTTTGCAGATGTAGTGGTTTATTTACTCTCTCATGTACAATGATAATGTTGATGTCCAGGTTGCGTAAGGAGTCTATCGGCAGTGTTCCTCCCCATCACCACACAGTCCACTCAGGCGCAGCACACAACAACTGCCACCTCTGTGCCCAGGTTCGATCTAAAAAGGGACGCAGACAAAACAAAACTCCCCGATCCAAACAGCGACTTGGAGAACAGACTGTCTTCTCTGTTGGCAGGTAATAACACATTTAAACCACTTCTGCATTTCTTCTGGGATAGAGAAACAACATCAGAAATTAAAACATAAAGGGAAGATGTTTGAACAATGTAAAAGTAATTTTAAAAAAAATCACAAAAGTTTCATTTGTCATTGCCCCTTCAGATTTCGGGTGACACATACTGATAAGAAGCTTAATGGAGGTCCCAATGCATTAGTCAGTTCAGGGGACCAGCTGGACCAATCCCAGGACAGTGAGGAGCGTAAAGAGGGTGGGTACAACCTGAGAAGCATGTTCAAGGATGCCCAACCTTCCTCAGAGAGTGCCAATGGGCTTGCCCGAAATGTTGGGAAGCGAAAGAAGAGTGTAACTATATTTGGGCTCAGGCGGGGCAGTGACCCTGTTGGAATTAAAGGAGTGGAGGGAACAGTTGGGGAGATCGGAGCTGTTAAATTTGCTATTCAGCATCAACCTGTAGTGCTGGAGGAGTCAACACAAGGAGAGAACACTGAGCTTGTTGCTGAACCTGGTACTCAACCTGGTTTCAAACCTGAAACTGAGTTCCAAAAGAATCAGTTACCCACTCTACTGCAACATGAGACTGAGACAGTAGGTTCTGCTAATTCTGCTTCTTCTCAAAGTAAGGAACAGGCACACAACTCTAGCTCTGCTCCTGGGAATGACTCTAATGAGCTGAGTCCTGAACCTTGTATGAACCTAACAATCAAACCTTGCCTTGGAAATGCAGCAAAGTCTGCCCCCAGTTTGCTTCTTATTCCATCTCCAACATCGTCCAGACGGACATTTAAGACAACTGAGAGACAAGCAGATGTCAAGCATAAGGTGTTAGAATATGAGGAGGCATATGATCCTGGACCACTACAGACCTCTACACCAACTGCCCCCATGCCACAGTCCATTTCAGCTTTCACTCTTCCTGTGATTCCCATTGGTCAACATGAAACCTATTCTAGCACAGGTTTTCCCAACACCCAAACTCCCCCAGAACCAAGTTCCAGCACAGATCTGGAACTAGGTTTTGGTCCTAGTCTAGGTTTAATAAGCTTAGGTTCATCTCCTCAATCTTCATTCCCAACCAAGACCCTATCTTCAGCTTCTTCATTAAAAACTCCTACCTCACCCTTGGTGGTCACACCAAGCCCCAAACTAAGCTCAAGAAATACACCATCAGATGTTGCAAAAACTGCCTTTCCCCCACCCTCACTCCAAGCCCCAAACTTCCATCAAGTCGAGCAATGTCTAGCCAGTCCTATGGAAAAAAACATTAGTTCAGTGCAATCCCGAACTCCCTCCCCTGCTTTGTATGCTAGCCCCAATCTTGACACCATGCCAGTATCATTACAAACTCCCACTTCTTCTTCAGCTGACCAGAACCCATCCTTCAGGAGTTCACCCCATTTGAGTTTGAAATCAGAAAGTGTGCTCCCTGTAACAGCTATGACCAAAAGGCATATGGCTTCAAGTCCATTATCTTCAGATAAACTAGAGTTAGAAGGAGGTAGAATCCCAAAGACAGAGGAAAGGACAGAAATAAGGAGGCTTAAAACTGCTAAGCCTTCACCAGTTGAGGGAGATTTTAAAGGTTCTGCCCTTTCCGCTCCATCTGCTCAGCCTTCAAGCAAAAAACTGAGCAGTTTGCCTCTGTCACCTTCTAGCCCATTGTCCCCTTCCTCGCCTGTCGGGAGCAGAATAAGTAGTGTGACCATTGTCAAAGCCAGCCCGGACAGCAAGAGAGAGTTTTCAGTTGTCACTATGGTGGAGGATGAAGAATTGTTTACTTCAGTAAAAGACCAGAAAGGAGCCACTTTTGATGTTGGGGTTGGATCTAACAGCATGGGAATTAGTCCAGCAGTTGGTCATGGAGGAGAGGTTTCTGTTTTAGATGCTGGACAACCTGAGCGTCAAAGAGGAGAGACTTCTGGATCTGAGGTTGAGCTAATGTTAAGCCAGGAGAAATATGACATGATGGAGATGGAAGATATTGGAGACTGCAAGGTGACCCAGGTACAAGAAGAAGAGCAGCTGGAGTAGGTGAAGAAGCTGCTGTTACCTCAGTTGAAAGAGGACTGAGAGGTGAATTCTCAAGATGGTGAATAGTTCCAAGTGGAGTGGCATCACTCAGCAGGATATAGGAAGGGAAATAATAGTAATAATGGTAGTAACAAAGTCAAACCTTTCATTTCGTATGTGCACTTCTTTGCGATAATCTGATGGCATCTGAACATGTAAGCTTCATGTCATAATGAAATGTAAAAGTTGAGACAGCAATCATGCTAGGTCAGACCTAGAAACATTTACGTGTTACTTTCAACATGGCACAAATCAGAACTACCTGCAGTAGCATTAATGGATAGCACATGCAAAATTACAACAATCTTGTGTGAATTACAAATATTGCACACACAGTGTGGCACCCTCTGTCCTTGGCCTGGGTTTGAATAAAACTGTGAGGAACATATTGACTGTCGTTACATGTTTGAAAGAATAAATCAAATACAAATACAAATACAAAAAACATTAGTGTAAAAGTGACCTACAGTATGTCAGGCACTGTTTTAATAGACTGATGAAGCTAGCATTGGTATGGATCCCATGTCTGAAATGAGCTTACAAGCTCTAGGGATGGCACCGTCAGTCAGTGCACCACTCTGATCCATACTAAAATATCTCTGCCGATAGTTAGTTCATGGTTCCCAAATGATTACTCCTACTGACTTTCATGATTCCTTGACTTTTCCTTTAGCACTACCATGAGGTTAACTTGTCGGTGGACCTTCCCGGCAGGCAAGGCAGGCAGTTGCCTGGGGCCTCCAACTAAAGGGGACTCAAAAGCCACAAATGCACTATAATGTTTTCATACAATACTTACAAATTGCTTTATTATTCAAAGGAACATAGCCTACTCTGCAATACCTTATAAAAATGCTCTAAAAGCACCTCATTTAGCATCCACCCCACCCCAACACCTTACAGTACATGCTAAAGCCTGACACTATCAGAGTCCCATATATGACATAAACTCTCAGACTAGCTAAACTTCCACAGAATAAACTCTGCAGTACTCAAAGATATGACTTAAGACAAAGGTTTAAATTTTGTATTTTAAAATATGAAGTGTATTTTGAAGTTTTATTTGAAACAAAGACCGGTGATGTTTTATACCAATGACTACAGTAGAACTCTACACTAACACAGTATATGTCTTTTGTTCCTTCTCATTTGTCTATATAGTAGAACTCACAGGCCGCAAAAGTGTTTGTCGTTACCTTTGAAAATATTCACTACAGTATATTTAGATTTTAGGTTTTCTAATTCCAATGTTGGAGCAGTCTGTTTTCAGAGCACTGGCTTCTTTCAGCACAGTATATCTATATACTATCTAACTACTACAAAAAGGTGGTCATTCAATAGCCTCCAACAACAATCTAAAGACAATTTCCAAAGAGTACACGGCATTAATTCATTTCTTTTAACGACACAATTTTAAGAAAAATTCAATTTGTATTTATGTAGTTGGGACTATGCTGGCGTGCAGCCTAGTACACATTCATGCCTCAGGTCATGGATACAGAAACAGAAGACGTTTACTAGCCACAGTTCAAAAGTTTAAGGGCAGAGGTCAGCATCATTTCCTGGCCATTATGGGAAACTGACCAGGAGGTCTGTGGTCTGCTGTCCTAATTTTCCTTTCACTCTGTCTTCCATTTGCTCATGAATTTTCATCTCATTCATCTTCAGTCTGACATGTGAACAGAATGTCTTCACACAATGCACATCTAAAAAGATTCACTACATTCTCTTTACTCAGGCCGCTTCAGTATATGTAGATTTTTTTCATGACCTGATCATATCTGTAAGATTTTATTGTGACGTGTGTGTGTGTCTCTCTCTCTCCTGATCACTAGACACATCACGACTTCACATGTGCTTCTGTCACCCAGAGTCAAAACTAGAGTAAATTAATATGTTGTCATTTTGAACACAGTGGGCGGACTTGTGTTGAAAAGTTCAACATAATCTTGTAAATGACACTGCTCAAAGTAAAGAGGACTGTTGTTTGTTTGTTTAACTTTTGCACTATATCTAAAGCCATTTTAGAAGTATAACAATTGACTAAATGCACCATATATCTACACTACACTGCAAATAGGCTTTATAGAATAATGTATAGCCTATAAAATGTGTATGACCTGTTCTAGCTGGACAGCTTTCAGTAGACATACAGTATTACAGTATTAAACAAATACAGAACAATGTGAAACTGTCTATAATTTCATTTCGGTAAAGTGACCTTTGAATGTCACACAGTGGTGGAAGAAGAACTCAGATCCTTTACTTAAGTAAAAGTAACAATACCACAATGTAAAAATACTTTGTTACAAGTAAAAGCCCTGCAATGAAAATATTACTTAATTAAAAGTATAGAAGTATCAGCATCTAAATCTAGTTAAACTACTAAAGGTAAAGGTATTCAACACAATGGTGCATTTAACTTTAATTTTAGATTATAATTACTGATGCATCATATTTAAAATGTCGCAGCTGGGGAGTTAGGAGGTATTGTTTTTTTCTTTCTTTCCTAGGGGAGTGGGGGCCTGGAAGACTTTGTTTTTAAATGGTTTCAAACAATCTTTGCCACTTGGCACAATGTTAACATGCAAAATAAACCTCAGTCCCCGTCCTTTGGTCGAAGCATTCATAGTCCATCCATATTAGAGCTTCCTGTCGTATACAAAACTGTCTTTCATTCAGTTTATCATTTTCATTTCCTGGTAATCATTAAAATGATGTATAAGGTACAGTATACCCTTGGAATATCACTTTTCAAAATCTTTGATCTCCTTTTTCTGTTCGGCCAGAATCCCTGTTCTACTGGCAAGTCCCAGAAAATAGGAGAATGATCTGTCATTCCACACTTCGCCAGCACAGAGCTGTTGAGGTGGACTGACACTGTTCTTTTTAATTCTGTCCAGAAGTAACTATTGTTGCCTTTATGGGAATCAATAATAATTACATTCATCTCATTTTTCATAAAATGTATCTTCTGCCACACCAGGTAATAAGTTTCTGTTATGGATGATGGACGATGTGTTTTTAGTGGGTACATGTTGCTCTAATACACTAATGAATTAGTGTTCCATGTTTGCTGTCTTTTTTACCATCTCCCACTCTAGGGGGACCTTTTACAGAATGTAAACATCACTTGAGGGCAGTGCAAACTGGTGTTGTAACACAGAGAAAGACTTATTTTCATCAAACAACAACATGAATATGAAAAAGGACAAACACAGATGAGGCCCACTGGGTTGGTTTTTCATTCACTTTCCACTTCAGCCTCTTGTATCTTAATTTTAACTTTCAGCCAACATAGCACTAGCTCTTGGTATCTGTGTGGACCATGAAAATACATGATGTTTCTCTCACATGGGGGCCACGGCTGTAGAGAGAACAGTTTATTGTTAATAGTGAGATGTCTAATGTTAATGTTTAGAACCACCAGAATTCTGTGATTCCAGTTGGATCAAATCAGGGGGTTTGTGATGATTTTGAGAGCTGTGTAATGTATTTTCTCCTTGGGCCTATAATATACAGTATGTACAGTATTATACACAACCTGATGTGCGATACTTGTAAATAGTCAGATGTATCCTAAATGATTCTATGAAATAAAATGTCAGAACTATAATTTTAAAATGTAAGTGTGTTTTGTTTTTGCTGAGCTTGATGATCAGAAATTTGAAAATTACTCACAAAATAGTAAAGTTTTAACAACTCAGTAATCAGATTGTCCTGAAATACATGACTCAGAGAATCACAGATTAGAGGGAAAGACAGTTCACATTTAATGGAGGTAAGAAAGAGCAAAAACAACAGCTCAGCCTGAAGCAAGGAAGGAGAAGATGTGGCGGGGTCACAGAGCAGCTTTAGACTGGCAGGAATAAAAAAAATGAAACTGATATGAAATATTGCTACAACAGCAGCTAAAATGGGAAAAAATATGGTCTTTGCAGAGAAGGAAAAAAAATAACATTTCACACATCATAGTTTATACAAGGGAACAGTAAATTATAATATGTACGCAAGTCAGTTCATTTCAGTTTTTATCATATAGCACCAATTCACAACAATAATTGTCTCAGGTCACTTTACATAATAAGGTCTAGACCTTAGATCTTGAGCAGTGACAGTGGGGTGGAAACTCCCTTTAACAGAAAAAAAACCCCCGGCTCAGCTCTTGGTGGATGGCTATACATAACTTTTTTTGGGAAAAGCCATTGTGTAAAATTGATTCCAGTAGATAATCCTCTAGTTATTTATGACACCGTCTGTAAAAAGGTTAGTCTATCCTCCTGTAAAATGGTGTTTTCTATACTTTCTTTCATTTTCCATATGCAATAGTGTTCTATCACTTCTTAGAAAGCCTAGAGCTATAGCAAATAACAAAAATACAGTTTCAATTTACTTAGTTGGAGCTGCACTACTTGATGATGTCTTATACACTTGGCTGGTAGGATCTACAGTCAACTGTGTTGCTGGCTAGTCAACCTGCTGTGTGTCTTTGCTTGAATGGGTCATATGCTGATTTTAAAGTAATACCTTAGTAGCCAAAAACCTAGAGGTATACAATAGCAATTTTTCACTTTCTGTATGTCTTACTTGTTAATATGCCTTTCTTTTTCCCCAGATGTTTCATTAATTAATTATAACTTTACTTAAATGTTAAGTCTAATGTCATTACAGTGCTTGTTGGTGCATGTATGTGTTACTGTACATGCTGTGCCAGTTCATTTTGAAGTAACACATAAAGGGTGCATGAATAAACTTTGGTGTATGCTGTGTTCTCATCCCATGATGACTACAGTGACCAATGAGAACACCTGAAAAATACAAAACTGTGTTTCTTTGGTCAAAACAAGACATGTCTTTTCTGAGCCTTGACAGTGACTCTGGTCTTTGCCTCAAGGCTGAGATGAAGGCTTCTGTGTTGGAGGAGGAGGAGGTGCTCGACACTAAAACAGTACAGAGGGAGGAGAGATGTGTTGATTGTCATGATCCCTGGCCATACAAAGACTCATTCTACACATTCAGCTTGCCAATATCTTCATCTATTGTTTTTGTCGTGATAGATATTACAAGATTTTTCAACAGCACATACCGGTCTTAGCCGACTTCTGGAGAGATCTGGAGAGTTGTGGTTTTTGCTTCCAGTGCCTGAACATACACAAAGACAAGCAGACAACTGTTACCAGCTTAGCTAACAGCTAACTGGACCAAAGTTTAACTCCACTCACCTGCTGTGTTGTCTGGGAGCCTTGGAGGAATGACCTGCTGTTTGTCCTCCACACAGGTAGGGGGAGTAGCGCTGAGCACTGAACTACAGCCAGAGGTTGAGGGAATTGGGACTGGGGGAGAGATGGGAGGCATGGTTGGAGTGGGGAGAGGCTGGAGAAAAAAGAATCGGCAGCATTAACCTCAAACAAAAAGCCAATAAACCATAAGACAAATTGGGCAAAGGTCAGACGGTAAATGGGATAAAGCTTTCAGAGTTAGAACCTCATCAACTACAATTTACAGGATAATTCAAGAAACCACAAAGAGAATCCAGTCTCACCTCCTCCTCCTCCTGCAGTTTCTCCTCTTCCTCCCCTTCATCATGTACAAGCTCTACTACCAAGGAGGGGAAGAGACCGATCCGTCCATTCAGCTCTCCCTCCCAAAAACCATCATCCACCTAAAAAATTCATTCATGTAGATCATGTAAGATACAGTACGTCAAATAAAACATTCAAATATTCAAACAGAGCAGGTGGGAGGTATTAACCACTGCCTCATGAATCCACCTATCCAGCATCTACATATGAGCTTTGTTCAGGGCTTTAAACCTCGTCTCGTTTCTTTCATCAGTGACTGTAGTGCAATACTCGTGATGACAACTACAGAAACTTCATGAAAACTGAGCTCATTCCATTTGCTGGGGAAGGCCATGAGAAGCCTTCCAAAAAAGTTCTGTTCCCAAGGGCAACAATTAGCTTGCACACCTATCAGTTCCACATGAAACTGTTCAGATTTGCTATGATTCAATAAAAGGAGCTCTTGAAATTGGCATCACTGGCTCTTGGCACTGCTCTTATTTTGGAACACACAGTAGGTTGCAAGGCACACCTCTCCATGTCGACAGCGTATCAGGTGGATTAGTGCCCCCTCCTGGAAGGAAAGCTCCTCTGCACTCTGGGCGTCGTAGCAGTACAATGCTCTAGCTACTCCTGCAACAGATCAGACTGGATCATGATGTACCATCTTATTAGGAATCACTTATGCATACATATGACATGCATATAAGTATGAACATCTCTTTTACAACCACATGGGGCTACTGGCCAAGGTGAGGGCTGCAGATGAGAATGTGGAGACAGTGGTCAGGTTTTACAGTTCCCCTTTGAATGGAATCTTATCTTAACCACCTTGTGTATCCAGGTCTTGAAAAATTAGATAGGGTCACTGCCCTCCATACCTTTGGGTAAACCCACAATATGTGAAGGAGAATGTCTCTATGCACAGTTACATTCAGGTGCATCACCATTAAGACTCAATGTTTAGGTGAGATTGAAAGTGATGTCCATGCCATGCTGTGTATTCCTCGATGATGTACGGACATTTTTTAGTACAATATCCTTTATCTATGATGAGTTCTTCTGGATAGATGATTATAATAAACCTGAACTGTGATTCAGGAGCGAAACCTGTTTTGTCATGTTCATGTCTGACAACACTAGAACTGTATGGTATGTGCATGGTGCAATAAATAACATAATTAAGTACTAATATACAGTTGCAAGAAAAAGTAATGACACTGCAATTTCCAGGTTTCCTGCATGAGTTGGTCATGAAATGTGATCTGATCTTCACTGAAGTCACAAATATTAACAAACACAGTATTTCTAAGCTGATAAAACATAAACAGTCATGATCTTTCATGTTTTTATTGAACACACCCATCAAACATCCAAAGTGATGGTGGAAAAAGTCATGATAAAAGTGTTGAACCACCTTTGGCAGCAGTAACCTCAATCAAGTGCTTCCTGTTCCTTCCAATTTATGCCGAAAATTGCAAATGGTGTCATAACTTTTTCTTGTTTTCAGTGGTAGGTTAAATAACACACACACAGTGACAGACTGTTCTAACCTCTGCTCCCTGCCTTCTCTTTATTCCCAGTGGATGAGGTGGAGCTGAAGGAACTGTCCAGCTGAGCAGCGTCCTCTCCTGGTAGACAAACGATCTGCACATAACGCTCAGGAACATAGCCCACCTGACCACATGAGTTACACACCTTCACAGGGACATCAATAGGTATACTGAGATACATATAAGACACTAGACAAACATATACACTATACAGTGCACTGCACTGCATATCTTAAATAGAAGAACATTAACTTTTGCTGTGACAGCAAACAGCAGAGCAGCTGTTACCTTCAGCCAGTCCTCCATGTCTCCATCATCAATCACTTGAAGCTCCTCTCCCTCCATGATCGACAGCTCATCTGACTGGCTGGCCTATGGGAAGTTATGGGCTCTTGTCAGTTTTATCTCCAATTAAATAAAATCAACATTATCCACCTGCAGTATCCTACACACAGGATAAACCACTGGCCACGGCATTTGCTAAATATGTGACAGTAGATGATTTCATTAATATGCTCACAGACTGAAAAATATATTCTGCATCTTTTCTAAATTTATCAGCCGATTTCACTGGTTTCAGATAAGATCAGCCTCTGTACGACAGACATGCTGAGTTCTCATCCTTCCTCTCGTGGATTTGTTACCAAATAACTGAGGGTTTCTCAACATCCTGCAGCCTGTGACTTAACTTTACTTCCTAAAGCTGTCACTGCCTCAGAGTCAGAGAAGCATCAAGCTGACATGTCCACAGATACTGTGAAGTTGAGAATTATGCAATTTCTGTCTATTTTAAAGAAGTTCCAAAGAAAAACAGGCATTCTAATATTTTTTAAATTTATTATACTTTTGATTTCAAATGTTTCCTAGAGACTAGAGTCCAGTGAAAGTTTGCTGTGGTACTTTTTCAGGCAATAAAAATTCACTAAAGGGTACAAGTGAATATCTGAGCTTGGACTACCTGATAGCTGTAGACAACTTTGCAGGCTGCAGGGTAAACATACACTCCAGATGCCAATACTGGATCCGCAAAGATGTCTTCGTCCTCATCGCCGTAGTCCTCAAAGTCAGTCAGCTCAAACTCGTCATCCTGGAAAGGACATCAGAGTGACATGAGTATGCATTATACTCACATCAAACAACAAAAACACAGTCCTTCTCACTATGGTTTCTCTTCTAAATTGTAGCCTTCTCTGTTCTTCTTTTTAGTAAAAAAGTTCCCAGGGCACCTCATTAGAGAATGGGATGTTTGAATTTAAAACATTTTTTATTCATGATTTGAACATGCTTCTGCATGTTTACATGTTGGCCCTGCGATGGACTGACAGCCTGTCCAGGGTGTACCCTGCCTTTCGCCCGATGCTGGCTGGGGTTGGCTCCAGCCCCCCCACCCGCGACCCCGTTCGGGAATAAGTGGTATAAAAAATGAGATGAGATGATTTAAATGTGTTTTGACTTCCTGCTTATGGACTTTGCCTTCTGCCTGCATCTTTTGACTTTTTGCTGATCCCTGCCTGCTTTGTCGGTTGTGCTTCATAATAAAGGTGAAGTGTTTGAACTTTTTATCAGTGTGTCCATAGTTATGTTTGAGTTCTCTGTTATTTCAGTGGTGATACAACATTGAATATATTTTAATGATTAAATATTGTGACTGTGTGTATTTGTTTGTTCCTCTGTGCATCGAGGAACTCACTCATTCCCACACACACCATCCTGCTGGGTCCACATCTCTTCCAGGATAACAGTGTCCCCATCTACTGGGCAGGAGGGGTCACCGAATGATTTGATGAGGATGAAAACAATGTGAATGATATGCTATGGCCTTTGCAGTCACCAGACTGCAACCCAGTCAAGTTAGACAGCGTCTCCAGCTCCATCATCAAAATGTCTAAGAGGGAATATTTGTTGAAAGAATGGTGTTCATCCCTGCAGTAGAGTTCCAGATGCACTGTTCCGGTGGTCCCAGCTGCTCCATAGCTTGACCTAACACCAGTGAGCTACCAGAGCTGCCTACAAGCTATGGCTTCACAAATCAATTTAAGCAGGTTGGTAGTGTGTGTGTGTGTATGTGTGTGTGTGTGTGTGTGCGCATACAGTGCCTTGCGAAAGTATTCGGCCCCCTTGAACTTTGCGACCTTTTGCCACATTTCAGGCTTCAAACATAAAGATATAAAACTGTAATTTTTTGTGAAGAATCAACAACAAGTGGGACACAATCATGAAGTGGAACGAAATTTATTGGATATTTCAAACTTTTCTAACAAATAAAAAACTGAAAAATTGGGCGTGCAAAATTATTCAGCCCCCTTAAGTTAATACTTTGTAGCGCCACCTTTTGCTGCGATTACAGCTGTAAATCGCTTGGGGTATGTCTCTATCAGTTTTGCACATCAAGAGACTGAAATTTTTGCCCATTCCTCCTGCAAAACAGCTCGAGCTCAGTGAGGTTGGATAGAGAGCGTTTGTGAACAGCAGTTTTCAGTTCTTTCCAAAGATTCTCGATTGGATTCAGGTCTGGACTTTGACTTGGCCATTCTAACACCTGGATATGTTTATTTGTGAACCATTCCATTGTAGATTTTGCTTTATGTCTTGGATCATTGTCTTGTTGGAAGACAAATCTCCATCCCAGTCTCAGGTCTTTTGCAGACTCCATCAGGTTTCCTTCCAAAATGGTCCTGTATTTGGCTCCATCCATCTTCCCATCAATTTTAACCATCTTCCCTGTCCCTGCTGAAGAAAAGCAGGCCCAAACCATGATGCTGCCACCACCATGTTTGACAGTGGGGATGGTGTGTTCAAGGTGATGAGCTGTGTTGCTTTTACGCCAAACATAACATTTTGCATTGTTGCCAAAAAGTTCGATTTTGGTTTCATCTGACCAGAGCACCTTCTTCCACATGTTTGGTGCGTCTCCCAGGTGGCTTGTGGCAAACTTTAAACGACACTTTTTATGGATATCTTTAAGAAATGGCTTTCTTCTTGCCACTCTTCCATAAAGGCCAGATTTGTGCAGTATACGACTGATTGTTGTCCTATGGACAGAGTCTCCCACCTCAGCTGTAGATCTCTGCAGTTCATCCAGAGTGATCATGGGCCTCTTGGCTGCATCTCTGATCAGTCTTCTCCTTGTATGAGCTGAAAGTTTAGAGGGACGGCCAGGTCTTGGTAGATTTGCAGTGGTCTGATACTCCTTCCATTTCAATATTATCGCTTGCACAGTGCTCCTTGGGATGTTTAAAGCTTGGGAAATCTTTTTGTATCCAAATCCGGCTTTAAACTTCTCCACAACAGTATCTCGGACCTGCCTGGTGTGTTCCTTGTTCTTCATGATGCTCTCTGCGCTTTAAACGGACCTCTGAGACTATCACAGTGCAGGTGCATTTATACGGAGACTTGATTACACACAGGTGGATTCTATTTATCATCATTAGTCATTTAGGTCAACATTGGATCATTCAGAGATCCTCACTGAACTTCTGGAGAGAGTTTGCTGCACTGAAAGTAAAGGGGCTGAATAATTTTGCACGCCCAATTATTCAGTTTTTTATTTGTTAAAAAAGTTTGAAATATCCAATAAATTTCGTTCCACTTCATGATTGTGTCCCACTTGTTGTTGATTCTTCACAAAAAAATTACAGTTTTATATCTTTATGTTTGAAGCCTGAAATGTGGCAAAAGGTCGCAAAGTTCAAGGGGGCCGAATACTTTCGCAAGGCACTGTATTTACATACTATGAAGTCCTCCATCGACTTCCTCTGTTCACTGAGCCGTCTCTCTCTCTCCAGCTCCTCCTCAGCCTGATTCATGGCGTTGTGAAGCCACAGTTCGATTCCTGTGATGCTGTCTGACAAGAGGGCCAGACGAGCCTCTGCCTTCACTCTGCTGAGCTGAGACAGAAAGACACCAAGACACTCAGACACAGACTTTTAGATTTGTTGTGACTTACACTTTACTAAAATATTGTTACTTTGAAAGCATAGATCTACTAAAGCTAGTCTACAGTACTTTGTTAAAAACTACGAAATTGACAATGTTCATGTGATGCAAAATTAGAACAATATATTATCAAAAAAAATAAAAATAAATATCACATGGCAGCAAAAACTGCCACTGAATTGAATTTATCACCTGGGACCTGAACCTGTCTTTACATAAAGCTCCCCTTTGCTTTAAATCTGGATTTTGTATATTGTAACTACTATACAATATTCAGCATTGTAAAATAAAAATAAATAAACATTCATCTTGTTTTATGGCCCAAAACTCTATGTAGTTACACAAAAAATATAAGTATGCGTGAGGTCTAAAACTATAACCATGTTTCAAATCCAGTGGCCCCCTCTGACCATTGTTGGAATATTTACTGCAGCAAATGATTAACACAACAACTGCACTATTTATTCAGATGATAAATCCAACTACAGTTCACTGGATTTGCTGCTAAGTAAACCTGATGGTTTTGATGGTGGTGTGCATGACTGTGTTCACAGCTGCTGAAAAGACATGACAGTGTTTTATCCCCCAAGAACAGAACTATACGAGATGAAAATGGTTTAGTTAGTAATGAGTAACTCAGGTGTTTCCAGATTTCTTTGATGAGTTGATGAGTTTATAGTTGTGCTTCCTGGAGATACAGTATGTTGTTTGAGTTTTATTGTTTAAATTAGAAAGGTAGGACTTTATATGCTTTTCCCTATTATGTAAAAGATAAGGGAGAGGCTGAGAGCAGAATGGTAAAGACACTAAGGCTAACATGTTTTTTGTTTTTGAGACAAAACAAACAAAACAAAAAGACAAGTACCTTGGCTTTCCTGATGCTTTCCTGCACCTCTGCTATCTTCTGCTCCACACTGAGCTCTGTCTCCCCTGACAAGAGCTTCAGCCGACTCTCTAACATCTGCAGAGCCTGACAGAGATGCACAATACAATCATTATTAGAGTGGAATTTCAGCTTATTTGTTAATTCACTTACCACTTCAATTCATTTAAATAGCTACTCTGGCTGCTACAGAGAATGAAACCAGAAAACACTGCTCGTTCACAGCTAATGGTCTAATCTGATCTATTCAGAGGAAGGCTTTATCATGCAGCATCCTGACAGACACCACAGTAGATTAATGGTGATGGTGAGGTGCTAATTTAAGTAATCACATTTTTTCCATACAGAATTTTAAAATCAATAAATGGAAAATAATCAAGTGATATCAATGATTATCATTTAGAGATGTTGCTGTTTTTTGTGTGTGCATTTTAAAAGAAGTAACAAAACTGACTAATCCAACAATGTTAACACTTTTAGAGAAAGATAAATATTCTGAATTACTGAACAAAAACAAAACAAAAAAAAAACCCAAAGGTGAATTGCGACAACCACTCTTTTGGCTCAGGAGTGTCCTGGCTCTCCAGCTGTGAAATCAAAGTCTCACCCTCTCCCCGTGAGTGATGATCTTATAGTCTTTGGAAGCTTTTGTAACCCACTTCTTGGCCTCCTTCACCAGACAACCCTCTGCTTCTGAAGCACCGACCTTCTGCAGAGAAGACACCTGTACAGACGGGAGACCAACATTTTCCACAAGGCATCTTTCAACTTATAAACATCTGGATAATGCGATTCAATGCAGCCTTTGTGGATTTTTGATGACACTGGGCTTGAGGTTGCTGATGCTTCATTTTGAAGCTGTTGTACTGCTAATGCATATATATTTTTTTATTCCAAATAACTAAATTCAGCATCCAAATGTATCTCATTACATCATATAGTGACAAAAACAAAAAAGCAGAGTGGGATCATGTCCTATTCTGAAATGTTTTGTTTAAAAAGGGTTTTTGAGCAATGTTTTTTAATATTTTTTTATTGTGAAAAAGATATCCCCACCTTTAGAGTAACTGTCTACTGCTTCTTCATCTGACAGCACTGAAACTACAGATTACTGTCTGTGATACTAGAAGAAAAGTCTTGTAATACAGCAGGCAGAGTAGTGTTTATTATAGATTTGCCAGCTGGTTTTCCTGGAGATCTCACACACACACAAACAGACAGACCCACCTTGTCACGTGTAGCAGGTTGGAAGGTGAATTCAGGCGTTTTGCTTAAGGAAACAGATTCTTGTAAAAAGTGCTGAACATTTCTCTTTCTGGTCACCTGACAACACAACAAGCAATCGCTTTTAGCCATGAACAACAAAAACATGTAGTCCTCCCCTGAAAAACAAGCCAGATCATCTGTTACTTCACTGTGGAATTTGTTAAAAACATCTGAAACGGTCGTGCTGACTCTTTTTCACTCAAACTTCCAAAACAACCTGAGTTTGTTTTTGCCAAAGCGGAGGTGAACATCCATCCATTACGTATACTGCTTATCTAAAGGGGTTCAAATGACTCACATTTGGAAAGGAATGACTGTGCTGTGTTCCCCTCACAATCTAAACTTCTTTTGTCCCAACCTTTTCTCTCTTGTATTAGTGTCTTTATTTCTGCCTTGCTCATTCCTTCTGTCTCTCGCTCTGTTACTTTCCCTGACACCCTCCGCCCCCACCACCATGTCCTCTAGAGAGGAGGTGAGAAATATCCTATGTCTGGTTTCTCTGAAGCCACAAATCTACCTCAGACCATCTACAAACATCGGTCATCAATTCTGATAGCTTTGAAGAATCTCCAGTTTGGTTACTGAAGCTGTTAGTCACAGTTGCTCTGATATGACGAGTGAATGTGGAATAAGAGCCTTGTTTGTCCAGACCATCAAAACCTGTGGTCAGTGGACACAACAAGTCACATACACATAGGTGTCTGTAATATTCACATGTTAACAGAATTATTTCAAATCTTAGCCCTTAACACTATTACTATAGCAGATGCTGATTGGATAATTTGATGCTTGTGCAGGTGCTTATAAGATATGTGTGTGTGAAATTAGCCTTCCTCAGGAGCACGTGTTATGTTCTGCAATAAAGAATGTTAGCCAGCATGTCATTGTGAAGCATGGAACTGTTGACAGACAACAAGAAAGTACCTTAACAACACTGTCCCAAATCCTGCTGTACCGTTTGTGTGTGGACAGACAGGTGTCCATCTCTGTCCCGCACAGCAGGGTAAAGTGGCTTCTTAAATCATCATAAATGTCACCGCCCATTTGCTGAAGAGGGAAATAGGGAACACAAGTCATTTTTCATTAGTTCAGATTGTTTCACCACCACTTTCACCTCTACAGTTTGGATCTTTTACCCATGTTAGATAAACATACGGTCGGTCCAGAACTCCCAGCCCCCCTCCCCCATCTTTAGCTCTCAGTACAGTACACTCAGTGGCCACTTTATTAGGTGTGCCTTTACAGTCGAATGCTGTAAAATACAGGGTCCCGTTTTATTTAATACATCCACAGGTTCATTATATATTATACATTTCTTTGCTACTTATTAACAACACAATTGCAATTCTAGCAAAAAGCTAAAGAAAAAAGAAAAGCAGTTTTGTATACTGTGCAGAGAAGCACTACAGATCAGCATCTTCCAGGAAAAGATGAATCTATCAGGAAACGATGGGGTCAGTGTTCTGATATATAACTGGCTTTCCCTTTTCTGCAGTGTGAATATGTCAGAGTGTGTGTGTGTGTGTTACCTCCATAATGTGTGGTAAGTCGTTAGTATAGTAGTGCTGTTGATGGGCATTCACTGCTGCTAACGCCAACAGATACTCATTACGAACTTCAGTCAAACGGTCATCACTCTCTTTCAACCTGGCACTGAGCTGTACACACACACACACACACACACACACACACACACACACACACACACACACACACACAATTATATCTCTTAGTTCAGGTGAAACATGCAACAAACATCATCTACTGTAACATGATTAAAGAAAGAAATCTGGAGTGCTGCATTAAAAGTCACTTAAAGATACACTATGTAACTTAATGTAGCACTAGCATGACAGTCCAAATCAGCCCACCCTGCTCCGCCCAGCACTCCCTCTCCCCGCTTCACTGTTCTCTACTATGATCTGCTACACTCCGTCCAGCTCTTCGGATCTTTGTCGTCATGAAATTACAATAAATCAGGATGTAACAAAAGTTACTGATCAAGCAGAAATAATTGAACATCTCTGACTGGTTAGAGAGGTCAGTCCTGCTCAAAACCTTTTAGAAGCTAATATCTCTGCACCGCTGCCAGTGCTGGCCAAGGAGTCTGGGTCATAGGAGGCTTCGACAGCACCTCTCCACATTAAGACAAGTTTTGGAGCAGATTTCTGCAACAAAACTATTACATACTGTAGCTTTAAGGTCTGATTGTAGTTTTAAGACTTTAAGATAAACTGACTGTAACAGGCATACTGTATGTTGTGTTCACATCATGTGAGGTAGAGATGCCACAGCTGGTTACAGCCATTTCACATGAATCAGATGAAGGGAACAAACAAAATAAAATTTTATTTCTTGCCTTGGTCAATGTCAGCAGGCTATTTCTGTTATGCAGGAAATGCTGTTCTGTTAGCTAAAACAAATGACTTCAGCTTCATACCTTAGCTGTCATCTTATGTAGTCCTGTTTTAAAATGGAAAATCCCATGTTCACTCTTTCTGGCTCTGGAAGACAAAGTAAAAACATACAGACAACATACAGTAAGACCTAAAATAACAGACATACAGAACATACAGAACTGTACTTGCAAAATGTATGTGTCTTTGTACATGAAGTGGTTTATCTTCTTCATAAAATAAAACATTCATCTCATTTATTTTTTATGTTTCCCAGCCACAAACACAAGTGCATGGGGACCTGGTTTGTGCATCAGCAGCTTTCTCTCTGACAACGCCAGCAATGTGGCTGAGTTGGTGGTAGCGCTTTTTGATCCTGTGCAACTCCCGCAGAGCATCCACCATTTCACCCTGCACACTCTGGAGCCGCTCCAAGCCCTAACACACACACACGCAAAGCACAATGGTCCATTCAGCTACCAGTGTCCTTTGGTAGATATTTCATGCTCACAGTGTAGTGCAGTATGTTGCACTTTAGAAAATAAACACCGTTCCTATGTGTTTAGAGTATTTGATGACTAGGTGTGCAGACTGTGAGCAGCTCTCTCACTCTCTTAGTTCGGATGTCCTTTGCATTGCGGAAACCTCTGGAGGCTTGTCCAATCAGCTTGCGGTATTCCTCTGCAGCAGCAAGCCGTGATGCTGCAGTCTGAGCTGTACCATCTACCACTGACCGCCACACAGCAAACACACTTCTGAAAACACACACATTGACACCAATGGCATCCAGGTACCTTGTGTGAAAGTGATCATGCAGATCTTGCACAATCCCTGGCAGACTGGTTTTCTGCCTGGTCGGACTACTTTTTGTTAAATTAGTTAAAAATCACTTGGTCTGTCTTTCTGTACCTTTTGACCTGTATCCAGCAACATAACATCAGGTACAGTATACAGTGGGTACGGAAAGTATTCAGACCCCCTTAAATTTTTCACTCTTTGTTATATTGCAGCCATATGCTAAAATCATTTAAGTTCATTTTTTCTTCATTAATGTACACACAGCACCCCATATTGACAGAAAAACACTGAATTTTTGACATTTTTGCAGATTTATTAAAAAAGAAAAACTGAAATATCACATGGTCATAAGTATTCAGACCCTTTGCTGTGACACTCATATATTTAACTTAGGTGCTGTCCATTTCTTCTGATCATCCCTGAGATGGTTCTACACCTTCATTTGAGTCCAGCTGTGTTTGATTATACTGATTGGACGTGATTAGGAAAGCCACACACCTGTCTATATAAGACCCTACAGCTCACACTGCATGTCAGAGCAAATGAGAATCATGAGGTCAAAGGAACTGCCTGAAGAGCTCACAGACAGAATTGTGGCAAGGCACAGATCTGGCCAAGGTTACAAAAAAAAATTTCTGCTGCACTTAAGGTTCCTAAGAGCACAGTGGCCTCCATAATCCGTAAATGGAAGACGTTTG